TATATACGTATCGTCCGTGCTCCAGGCACGACCGATGATTATCTCCACGCTCGGTTTGAGCCACAAAGCACAGCAGTCCCACGCACGCCTTGTCGAGTTATTAATCGCCACATAATTCTACAATTACAAAGGTTAATCCGGCGTTTTCACGCTTTGCCCGCCGTGGGTGCTGCGACATCGGGCGGCTGACAGAGAACAAGAAAGAGCAAAAAAGAACGAGAAACAGCGAGACCGAGAAGTAGACGCGAGCGATGGAAGAGAGCGTGAAAAGGAGAAAGAAAGGCCTGGCGGCCGCTCACATTGTCGTTAAACTCGATGGCTTGTCACTTTACTTTCGATCGTAACCTTTACTCCCCAGCTTTGCACCCGATGTCGCAACCACAGTAAATCATATGTGCCTTATCTCTCCGACGAGACACACGCTCGCGAACGGCAAAGATACATTTGACGTATGATTAATCATAGTTTACTTGCCAAGAATCTTTTCTTCGTCACTGCACGCAACTTCTCTATTGGTTTCGGATAATAATTTATTTATCAATTATATTTAACAATAAATTAAATTGATAGAGTCTTTACATCGCTCTACATAACTCTACAAATCATTTCGAAATAATAATGAAAATCAGATCGTTTCATGCACTGATAAGAATAACAATAAAGGATCGAATTAAATAAAAAAAAAAACAAAAGAATTAACAATATTTTATTTATATAAATTAATAAAATTAATCCAGGAATGTTGCAAACTTAACATATTGTTAGCTGTAAAGATGATAAGTGAAATTTATTATTTGTGATTGTAACTAAATTAAGTTCAAAACAGGATTAATTTGTACGAATAAAATAACGTTAATTCTTCACCTGCTTTTAATTTCACTTAATTTAGGCCTTCATTGATATTCTTCCGAATCTCTCCGAATTAACACAGCTTCATTTCTCTAATAAAGTAAACAACCAAGATCACTGCACACATTTATGACTATAATCTATAAATGCAAATACTCTATACCGCAAGAAATTAAATACTTCGTGGTAAATTCTAAGATGTTGCTACTCGTCTTGTCTAATATTTTACTTTACCCAATATTCTATGCCTCTATAAAGTATCCAAACATATCAAGTATATATCCCTTGTATCCCCCATGAAACTTCCTATCTCAAAAATTAGTATATCATCTGCAAATATACTATGACTTAAGGATGATCGTTAGACGGCCTCAGTTAGACGCGAGTATCCAGCATATTTCTAAAGTCGCCTCTCATTTCGAGACGTTACATAAATCTTTCTTATTCATCGACTATACCGGCTATTACTCGCGGTTCTTCGTGCATCGCGCGCGGTAGGGCAGCTCTTAAGTACGCGTTAAGGACGATCCGGTCGAAGGCGGAACGAAGCTACGGCTATCGGGAACGCGAACGGCGGGGACCCCGATAAGAACATCGGTTTTATCGCGTACGGTTCCTCGCCTCCCAAGAAGAAACTCGCCCCGGGGTGTGCGCGACCATTCACGATCGGTGACACCGTAACTCGGTATTTCCGTACGTAATTCACCGTGACCAATACGTAATACGCGCTCGAAAGCGCGCTCGGGCTCATTTGTTACGTCGCTGCTTCTGTGAAAGGAAGGATACAAAAGGATTTCAAGAGAGGGAGAAAGAAAACGGCGACAGGAAGAGAGAGAGAGAGAGAGAGAGAGAGAGAGAGAGAGAGAGAGAAGATAAGAGACGAATGAACGAGAAAGAAACACGAGCGATTTGAGCGTCGCTCTTACAAGGAGATGATTTAAGGCCATTATTTCTCCATGCGCTCGATTTGACCTCCGCAGAATTCCAAAACGGAATTCTGGTGTTCCGTAACACAGATGCCGGACAGATTGCCACGACGTTAACGCGAAATTAAGACGTTTTTTCCGGCACGCAATTTCTTCATCGTGCGCACGTTTGTTTGCGTATTATAATACACACGAGAGAGAGAGAGAGAGAGAGAGAGAGAGAGAGAGAGAGAG